ACCTCCTTTGGCCGGGCGCCTAATCTCTGTCTCTCTTCTGCAGCTTCCACCTCTTCAGAAGTGGGGGCAGGGGCCTCAGTTCTCTGGTGTCCAACCCCACAGTCCCTTTTGTAGCTTCTTCCAATTCTTTCATCTTCACTGAGTCTTCGCACTGCTCCATTTTTGGAATCAGTGCTGGGGCTCAGCATCCCTGACAGCCCCCCTTTTGGGGTGCTGGAGTTCATTTAGAGATTCGGGATACTGTCAGCGTTCCAGCAAACCTCCATTCCAATCAGTAATTCCAAGACAGACATATCTTAAAGATACCTTTATTTGGATAGAAACTGGCACATCTGTGGAATCCCGAATCTGAAAGTTTTTGGGCTTCCTTGGAATATTCAAAACTACAAATCCATACCCCCTTGGCCGTCATCACATCTCATGACCCAATCACGATCCGTCGTAAAGTAAGATTCTTATTTCATTCTGCACCATACTCAATGATCTTGAACTAACAAAAGAATTTTATTTTGTCTACTTAGAGATACTCAATTGAATCCCCCCTCCCACTTTCTTAGGCTTGTGGCAGCGTGGCAGCATCGAATCTCAATATGGCTTCCAAAGCTGACAAAAGATCATAAAATGGGGCCAAACTTACTTAACAAATGTTTAACTTAGCAACAGAAATTTTGGGCTCAATTGTGATCGTAAGTTGAGAACTATCTGTACAAGTCTTAGTAAGATAGTTAAAGTCTAGTTAAAATATGGTAGAAACAGAGTAAAACAAAAACTGTTTTGACATAGACAAAATATTTTATTAAGATTGTTCATCACATAATGCATTTAGTTTTATTTTTATCCTCTAGTTCTCGTAGTATTGATGGATCGAATGGGAGATGCCAAAGACCAGGTTCGAGAACAGGCACAGAATCTTATTTTGAAGTTAATGGACCAAGTAGCTCCACCAATGGTAGGAATTCTATAGAGAGGATTTTTCTGTTATATGTCAATTGTTCTGTTTTATTGAATTAAGCAACACAGTCTCAGCAATTTAAGAAACTGGGTAGGGTGTGGGGAATTGTATGTTGTGGTTTTTTGGCTGAAGATATGTGATGGTCATTTATTTTCCCTCACTTCTCAGTTGGAAGCTTGGGAAAAAGAGAATTTTCCCGAGGGAGCTTAATAGGAAGAAGATCAAAACAATCTCAGATTCTGCCAAAATAATGAATGGTAAGGGAGAAATAGTAACTATAGTATATACTGTATTACAGTTGACTTCTTAGCAGAAGACCATACCAATTGCTTGCTTGCTTGTGTATATACATATATATGTGTGTATATTCGTATACACACACACAAATACACATATGTACAGAAGACAATTATTTTAAGAACTGCTGACTTTCTGGTTCATAAAATAGCAGAAAGTTGGTCTTGTCAAAACTGACTACTATCTATTCCTATCCATGGAAACCACTGAATGCTAGAATACAAATTATTTAGAGGATCTGAGTGATTCTATAAAGAAAAAGAGAGCAGGTCAGAAGTGATGTTTTCATCTGTATTCTGTTGAAGATAGAACCAGAAGAAAATAATAGATTCCTGGCAGTTAGTGTTATAATAAATTAGTATTATCAACAACTCTTTGGATTTCAACATCAAAGTCTACTCCCCAATATAAAGGATTCATAAGCAGTAATGAGTTGTATCTTTCAAAAGATGAGAAAAATTATTTACTAAACATTAAGAACATAACTGCATATGATAATGCAGAAACATAGAGAAATGTTATTAGAAAATCTTCAGTATAAGGAGATCAGTAAAGAATAGCATTCATAATTTCTAGTTCTCCTACTAGTGCACAAAATATGGATAATTAAATATTCTAATAAAGCTAATTAAATATGATAGAAATCATAGAAATCTGGTAGAAAGAAAATCATTATTCAAATGTAGAACTTAAAGGATTTATTTTTTGTATAAGAAATAAGTTTTAAAAGTGGAATAAAACTGGCCTTTTAATTAAAAAAAAAGTCAGATACCAATGGATGGGTTGGGGAATCATGAGTATGTACATTTTGTTGAAAATATCTGGTTAGGGTGAAAAAGAGTATAAAACAAGTGATATCATTTGATAAGTTAATTGCAGGTCACTTATCCAGAGATAAAATATGTCTAGGCCTTTTAAAATCAACTCAAGTTCTCAAGAAGAAAGCTGTTGTGATAAAAATGTACATTGATACCCTGTTTCTCCAACAATACGGCCTCCCCCAATATCTTTTATAGGCATGAAATGAAATTAAGCCCCTCCCCCCAAATTAAGGCCTATATTAAAACATGCGAAATGGGGGGGAATGGTGGGGGGACTTGCTGTTAGGAAGTACTTTTGTTGCACACCCGGATATGGTGCTGCCTGCATTGACCCCGATATGAAGTGCCCCACCAACGCTGAGGTCAACATCCAAGCTGTCGCCGCCCGCCCACCTGAAGATGCAAGGGGGGGAATTAAGTCACCCCCGAAAAGACGGCCTAGCCATTTTTTCAGGGCTCAAAAAAAAAATAAGACCCGGCCTTATTATATGAGAAACACAGTATCAGTTGGGGAATTTAATTGGCTAAAAGTGAAAGATTCAGCAGATTTCTTATCTTTCTTGCTAGCAAATTATTTTTCAGAAAATGAAAGAACAAAACAATTCTGAATTTAATTGGGACAAATATTTATTTATTTGTTTGTCAAACATGTACAAGATAACAAGTATAGGTATGAACATAAACATGAAAAAAAGGAAGTAAATACAGATAAATAGGGACAGTAAGACGGATAGTAGGCATGCTGGTGCACTTATGCATGCCCCCTTTAAGGACCTCTTAAGAATAGGGTGAGGTCCACAGTAGACACTTTGAGGTTGAAGCTGTGAGGGGTTGTGGCTGTAACAACAGAGTCAGGGTGTTGCAGGCATTGACCACTCTGTTGCTGAAGTTGTATTTTCTGCAATCGAGTTTGGAGCGGTTTGCCTTGAGTTTATATCGGTTTGTCCGTGTGTTGTTGTGATTGAAGCTGAAGAAGTTATTGATAAGCAAGATGTTATAGCAGACAATTTTGTGCCTACAGTTCTTGTCCTATTGTCCCCATTTATTCATACCTATTTCCTGTATTCTTACTCATGTTTATACTTATACCTGTTATCTTGTAAGTGATTGACAAATAAAATAAATAAATAAAAATAAAAATAAATCAGCACAGGCCCCCCTCCAAGGCTATGTGCTTTCTCCCTATATACCAATGACTGCATCTCAAATGATCCACCTGTTAAAAATACTGAAGTTTGCAGATGACACAACAGTAATTGGTCTCATCCGAGACAACGACGAATCCACATACAGACAGGAGGTTGTACAACTTGCCTCGTGGTTTAACCGGAACAATCTGGAACTGAACACAGTCAAAACTGTAGAAATGGTGGTAGACTTTAGGAGAAGCCCTCCCATATTACCACCTCTTACAATACTAGGCAACACAGTATCAACAGTAGAGACCTTCAAATTTCTAGGTTCTATAATATCACATGACCTAAAATGGACACCTAACATCAAAAACATCAAAAAAGCACAACAAAGAATGTTCTTTCTGTGCCAACTCATAAAGCTCAAACTGCCCAAGGAGCTGCTGATACAGTTCTATAGAGGAATTATTGAGTTTATCATCTACACCTCTATAACTGTCTGGTTTGGTTCTGCAACCCAACAGGGCAGAGACTTCAGAGGATAATTAGGATTACAGAAAAAACAATTACTACCCACCTGTCTTCAATCAAGGACCTGTATACTGCACGAGTCAAAAAGAGGGCTGTGAAAATATTTATAGACCCGTCACATCCTGGACATAAAGTGTTTCAACTCCTTCTCTCAAATTGATACTATAGAGCACTGCACACCAGAACAACTAGACACAAGAACAGTTTTTCCCTGAAAGCCATCACTCTGCTAAACAAATAATTCCCTCAACATTGTCCAACTATTTACTAAGTCTGCACTACTATAACTGTTAATCTTCTCATCACTCCTTATCACCCATCCCCTCCCACTTGTGATTGTATGACTGTAACTTTGTCGCTTGTATCCTTACGATTTATATTGACTGTTTCCTAGTATGATTTGATTGCTTATTGTACCCTATGACTATTATTAAGTGTTGTACCTTATGATTCTTGACTCTTGACAAATGTATCTTTTCTTTTATGTTTAATGAGAGCATTTGCACCGAGACAAATTCATTGTGTGTCCAATCACACTTGGCCAATAAAAGAATTCTAATTCTATAAGAAATTTTCAGCTATGACTTCCTGCTGGCTCTTTTCACATCCATGCAGGTACACAAACAAAACAGTTTGTTTTGCTGATAAGGAGCTGAATTAAGTGTTAGTTCAGATAGAAATAATTCTCATGAGACAACGAGATTGGCAAACTTGAATGAACAAAGGCACCCAAAAGAACTCTAGGAAGAAGCTGAAAAATGGATATCATGGAAATGAAAATGATAGCTAATAACCAAAATAACAATATGGATTAGTGGCAATTGAATATGTATAGTTGGATGGTCCAGAAAAAGGCAATTCTTAGAAAGAATTTGAATGAAGGCTTGTTAATTCATGGCAAATGTAAACTAGTCTCCAATTCCTAAGTATACAAGTAGTCCTCAACTTACAACAGTTCATTTAGGGACCATTCAGAGTTACAACGGCACTGGAAAAGTGACATGACTAGTTTTCATACAACTGATGCAACATCCCTGTGATCACGTAATCAGAATTTGGATGTTTGGCAATTGGTTCATGTTTATGATGGTTGCAGTGTTCCTGGGCACATGATAATCTTTTGCAACCTTCTGACATGCAAAGTCAATGGGAAAATCTGATTTGCTTAACAGCTGTGTTCCTAACTTAACAACTGCAGTGATTCGCTTAACAACTGGCAAGAAAAGTAGTAAAGTGGGACAAAATTCATTTAACAAATGTCTCACTTAGTATCAGAAATTTTGGGCTCAATTGTGGTCGTAAGTCTAGGACTACCTGTAGTTTGCTACATGGAAAAGAAGGATAATAGAAAGTAAAGACATAAAATATGGAATGCTTTAAGAAGAGAAGAATCATTCGGGCTACAGATGATGCAGAGTGTGGTGGTGTGAGCAATTCTTGGCCCTTGTAACACTACTGCTCCACAAATTGTATTGGCTGCCAGTCGGTTTCCAGGTACAATTCAAGGTGTTGGCAATCACCTTTAAAGACATCCATGGCATAGGTCCAGGCTATTTGAGGGATCGTCTTATCCCATCCCACCCATTGGCCTGTTTATATTTCGCGACTAGCAGGGTCAAGAAAAAAACCTTATTTGCCATTGTGCCTGCCCTCTGGAACATCTTCCCCTCCCATGTGAGGTCATACCCAACCCTTCTGATCTTTTGTAAGAGTCTAAAGAGGGAGCATCATAGTGGAGTTCCCTTGATAGATTAGCAGACAGATCCCATTTCCCACTCACCCCCGCCATTCCCATCTATAATTGGATCATAGTGTTTGTTGGTATTAATTTATGTTTTAGCATGCAGAGAGATATATAGCTATGAGTTATCCTGTGGTAAGATGGCCTGCCAATAAATTTTATAAATAAAATAAATATTTATCTATGGTAGCAAAAGATCACAAGCAAAATGGATTAGATTTTCAGATTAATAAATTGTATTAAAAGACAAAATTTCGTGACCTGTAGCTCCATCATGCATGCAATTGCTGAACTGATACAGGATTTAAATTGAAATTAGATAAAAGAAGGAAGACAAGGTGATTATGCAGATGAAAGTTACATACGAGACAGATGTCAAGTACCTTACCAATTAATAATTTTAATGTGTTAAAATCCTATTCAACATATTGACATTTTTTGAGGTAGCCTAAAACCTCTTGAAGTGAGTTCAGCAATCCCTTGTCAGGTTGATAAAATTTCTTTTTTTCCAAAATGGCTGCTTTCAGATCTGTAATTCAATCCTGAGAATTGAAATGTTTTGATAGTGTATTGGCCTTGGTGTCAAATTTGTGATCATTACCGGTAGTTCTTTTGATTAAGGTCCTGTTTGTCATTTGTGAAATCCAAAGGGGCATTGTTGGCAGATAATGGTATAGGAAGAGAATGTGAAACTGCTATTAATCTTACATATGAAGTCATTAATATCTGTCATGATATAGTGTAAATAAAGCAGAGTAGACATTTGAGTTTATTGCAGGATCTAGTTCCCATATTAACATCATTATTTTTGTTTTCAGTTCAGTTCAGTCTGATAAATTCCTGGTTTAATTCCATCAGTTGAACATCTGTGTCAACATATGTAGTTTTGGGTATGTTCAAAATCAGATGGACTGATGGGAAGATTTGCTATTTGTTATCAGTGATGATATTCTTGATGACTCCCAAATCCATGCATATAAAGAGAATGTTGTGTATAGTGTCTCAAAATTCATGATGGCTAAAATGCTGGTGCTAGAGAGATTGCCAGTCTTCTTACAAAATCTGGGGTGTAACTGGTGTTATGTAGTTGGAAATGCTGACGGTATAACGCCAAACCTGACACCACAAGAACTGCAGGAATTATTGGTGTATTATATATTAACAGAATCTTGAAAGCTCATACAAACCCTTCACTGCCAGCCACTCTTTAAGGATGAGGTTAAGGCAGAGTGTTCTGAGACTTTCACATTTTCTATTTTGATAGACGAGAAATCATTTCAACCCTCCCACTTCCTTCTCTACCCATAAGGTACATCATCCATGAAACTTGATATTCCAGTTATTATAGTTCTGATGCTTGAGACAGTGGAACAGCCCAGATTGCCTAGTAGATTTAGGAAATTCTTTCATCAGATTTCATAATAGTTTCTGATATATTGCTATGGAGATTTGAGGTTTGTACTCTGTGATGGTGGAGAATTATTTCTTGGCTTACTTGACAAATTATCTTATTGGTCTATCTCAGGGTTAACTTTCTTACAGTTTACATGCAAAATATTAAGTGATGCAGGAAACAGAAATAGAATTATTAAAATTTCAGACAGCATGTAGAAGAACCTCCAATCAAAAACCTGAAGGAAAAGATAAAATTCTGATAGTCCATAGGATGATTCTAGTCTCCTGCTCATTTGGAGACAGTTTTGATTTAAATAAGTGCCAATTAGCTTAAAACACACAAGTACTGGATTAAGATAATCATTACCAGAAGCAAATCATTACCAGCAAACACAGAAAAGAAATTAAACTTAGCATAGTTTTTTGCTCACTTGCTTGCATTCTTGCAAAGAATGGATGATCCTTGGTATAGATATTTTATGTGTGCTGATTTCTTGCAAATTTTGGCTTAGTTTTAACTTAAGGAAAGGTAAGTTTTAAACTTTCATCTAGCAGCTTCTGCTTGATTTTTAAAAAAAGACTTAGGAAAAAAAGTCTACTAGATAGGAAAAAGAGGGACAAGAGAAAATCTGTTTGTTTATGTGTCAAACCTATTTGTTTTTGCTGAAGATGCTGAAGATATTTATTGTTTATGCTGGCAGTTGCCATTTACCTTGTAAGAGGGTCCAAGAGGCTGAAATAATGAATAGGATATGGATAGCCTGCTCCTTTATTACAGGGTCAAGAAAGCAAGCCTTATGAGGAAGTGTGAAGTATTGGACCTACTGAGGTTCCAAACATGGTCAAAAGGTTCAGATTTATTCTCCCTTAAAACTTAGAGCAATGTAATTGCCAATTACTTTTAAAGAAAGGAAGCAAGGCTGAAACACCTGGTCCTTCCCTATTGGAGGTTTTTTTAATGCTTGCTTACTGAGTTTCTACACCCCCCACAAAAAAGTTTAAAGTTTATTTCTTTATTAACTTTATGTCCTGATTTTTTTCAGAATCTTAATATAAGATCTGCTTATCCTATATGTTCTGTGATACTTGTCCTGAGCAGGCTTACTTGAAAGTAATTTATATTGATTCCCTGGACAGTACTTTTACTACATTCTGAACTGTGAAGATGGGCAGCATATATATTTCATAAATAAATAAGCATCTAATGATTTATAAATACATAGTTTATATTTGATTTACTTACTGTGAACTTGCTATCTCAAAAACCCATGCCAAAATTAATACAGTAGTAGGGATATAATTGTATTTCATCAAATTATTTCCATGGTATTTTAAAGTACTACAGTTATTTTGGAATATATATACAGATAATAGTACTCTAGCTGTATTTATTTTAAAAACATATTTTAAAAATTAAGAGCAATATGGGCTAACGTAGTCTGAGTATACATGAAAGGCTGTGTTTCTGCTTCAGCATGATTTAAATACTGGGAGGATCTAAGTCATAAATTGCTGCAGTCTAAGAAATGTGCTATTGCTCACTGTGCAGCAGTTGCTAGGCAACCTTTTTCTTCTGAATGCCTGCTGAACAGCAAAGAGTATAATGGCAGCATTGCAGCTAAAGGGAGTAGTAGCTAAAAAAATTTTGCAGTGATGTTTCAAAGCAACCTAGTCTTTCTTATAAGCTTCAAGTTTGCAGCATTAGCTGCCATGATACAGCAAAGGTCCTAGGAAGTCCAGAATCATAAAGATAAAAACAAGAAAGAAATAATGGTGGAAAAATAGGTGGAAGCAAATGCATGTAGACCAGATAATTTATTACAGAAGAATATTCCAGAGATCATCACACAAGCTCACTGAAGACTACAACCAGCATTGAAATCAGACAGTGGACAGAAACAGGAGCATAAACATGCACAATAAATACATCAAGTTGTAATTTGTACATTAAAAATCTATTGTAAAGAAATTCAGAACATTTCTGAATAGTGCATGGAAACCACAATGAGAAGATTTAGTTTAACAAAGAAAAATTAAGCAGAAACATTTATGTCTTCAACTACAGTTATTTTGTTCGGATATTTATAAAACTGAATGTTAATTTATAATAGCTACTATGTATTTAGTATTAAATATCAATTGTTTATTTTTAATAGTTCTTTTGGGATCGACTTGCTGCTGGCTTTAAACACAAGAATTATCGTTCACGAGAAGGCGTGTGTCTGTGTCTTGTTGCAACATTAAATGCGTATGTATTTTAATTTTATGAAAAAGCTATTAAATTATCTTAATGGTGGGACATTTTAAAAAAAATTATGCTATTTTAAGATTCTAAACTAAAAACAGGATTTTCACCACTTCATTCTTTATGTTTCCAGACGTAAGGTTTCAATAATTAGATAATAGAACTGCTGTTGGTTGATGTTATTGATTCTTTACAAGGGAAAAATAATCTTGCTTGTTTTGTTTTGTTTTCTTAGCTATGGTGCACACTCACTAATTCTCAGCAAACTGGTGCCACACTTATGTCTTTTGTCTGGAGACTCGAGTAACCAGGTAAGATTATTATAGTTGAGCATCATAACAAGCCCCTGCAAAATCTGATTTCTCTGTTGTTATTATTTCTGAAGAAAGATTACAAGAGCAGGTAGCTAGACAGACAGACAGGCAGATTCTCTAAAATAATAGGAAAAGTTGGTAGTCCATGTTCTTATGGGCAGCTTTTCAAAGTTTTGGTCTTTCTAGCATATTTTATGTTTTATACAATAGAAATAAACTACAATATTTTTGTATTAATAGAGCTTCTCTGACCACATCACAAAGGAATTAACTTAGTTCTTATCCTGGCTCTCTTACTCTAATAAACTTTTCAATTTTGAAAGAACTTTTCAAGCTATATTTTATTTTTGTGTGAGTGTGTGTGTTTAGCAGAAACATTGGTGAGCTGATTTTAAAAAGGCATACCACATGAAATAACTCTGAATTCTTATAAGATTGTTCAGGTTTCAGTTAACAAATTGCTTTATAGTTATATCATTATGTAGTCTAAATTTGAATCCTACATGAAAATATTTATTTATTAATTTAATGGTACCAGACTATTTTGATTCAGTATGAGATGAACCAAACTGCTCTCAGAAGAATGCCTGTTTGTGGAGGCATTAATACAAGAACTTATAGTTAAACAGGAATCAATCATTTGAAGTCCATAGACAAACAGTTCTCAATATGCCTCACTCTAGCACAGGGGTGTCAAACTCAAGGCCACCAGGCTGGATCAGACCCGCAGGGTCTTAAATCCGGCCTGCGGGACTGGCCGGGAAATATCAAGGGACTGGCCTGCGGTGCATCTGGTGGCTAAAACAGGCCCTGTACGGGAGCCCTGTGCCTCATGTTCACTCTCTATGACCTCCAGCAGCACTCTGCAGGCTGAAAAATGGGCCCAAGACAGGCTGAAAAACAGGCCCCAAACAGGCTGAAAATGCTTAAAAACCAGCCCGTTTTCAGCCAGCAGAGTGCTGCAGGAGGCCGAAAACAAGATGCAGGTGAGCGGAGCACAAACTCCCGCACCCCATTTTGGCCAGCAGGGTGCTGCAGGAGGCATCCGTCCTGCCACCCCTGCCAGCCACCTCTCTCCCCACCGCTGCTGGCCCACAGAGAATTACAATGCTGATCAAGCCCTTGAAGAAATCCAGTTTAACACTCCTGCTGTAGCATCTTGGAGGTTTACAACATTTACTTATTTATTTATTTGTTTGTTTGTTTGTTGAATTTATCTTGCCACCTATTTGCCCATGGCAACTCAAGGCAGTTTACAGAATATAAAACCATATTTAAAATAAAAAACAATAAAACTAACAAAAAGAATCAAATAAATTAATAGAACAAAATCTGGAAAAAAATAAATTAAAAAAATCACCCCCCAACTCCAACCCCCACCCTGATGACAGCTGATCACACAAGCCATTTGATGGGCTCCATCCCTCTCTGGGTATCCCAAGCCCACTGGCAGAACTAGGTCTTCAGTGCCTTCCAGAAGAGTATTGGGGGGGGGATTCTAATCTCTAGGGGAATGATGTTCCAGAGAGAGGGTGCCATCATGGAGAAGGCCCTTCTTGGCCCCACCAGGTGTATCTCCTTCAGGGATGGGACCCACAGCATTCCCTGCCTCCCAGCTCTAATGGGTTGGGTAGATGTGACCTGCAAGAGGCATTCCTCAGATAACCTGTTCCCAAGCTATGAAGGGCTTTAAAAGGTGACAACCAGCACCTTGAATTGCACCCAGAAGCAAATCGGTAACCAATGCAGCTCCCGCAGGAGAGGTGAAACATGCACAGCGGAGTCAGGTTACTGCATTTTTCACCAACTGGAGCTTCCGGATGTTCTTCAAGGGCAGCCCCATGTAGAGTGCGTTGCAATAATCAAGATGAGAAGTGACTAGGGCATGAGTCACTGTGAGTAGGGACTGTTGGTTCAGGAAAGGGCATAACTGGTGCACAACCTGCAGTTGCGCGCAAAGACCCTCCTGGCTGTGACTTCTACCTGCTCTTTGAGCAGGAGCTATGAGTCCATGAAAATTCCTAGATTACGCACAGGGTCTGTTTGGGGTAATACCACTCCATCAAAGACAAAAGGGGGCAATTCTCCCTGAGCCAACGAACCCAAACCCCAGAGCCACTTGCAAGGGTTTAGTTTCAACCTGTTGCTCCCTATCCATCCCCTAACGGCCTCCAGGCACTGCGAGAGGGAGGACACAGCAACACTTAACTCATCATCAGCATATTGGTGATACTTTAGTCCATGGTGAGGGATGATCTTACCCAGTAGCTTCATATAAATGTTGAACAGGAGCGGAGAGAGTACTGAGCCCTGCGGAACCCTGTAAAGCAGTGGGCCTCCCGCTCCCATTCCCCAAAACCTCCCCAGGAGAATTCCATGGTCAATAGTATTGAAAGCCGCCGAGAGGTCAAGTAGAGCAAGGATGGATGCACTACCTCCATCCCGCTCCTGCCAGAGATCATCCAAAAGTGTGATCAATGCTGTTTCTGTCTCAAATCCAGGCCTGAATCCTGACTGGTAGGGGTCGAGAAAATCTGTTTCCTCCAGAAACCTCTGAAGCTGCTGCATGACCACCTTCTCAACAATCTTTCCCAAAAAGGGAAGATTGGAGACAGGTTGGAAATTTTCCAACCGGGCGGAGTCCAAAGATGGTTTCTTAAGAAGAGGGCAGATTACAGCCTCCTTAAAGTGCTAGGGCACCTTCCCCTCCTGTAGGGAAGCATTCTGCAAGAGTCCACCTGCCTGTCACCTCCTAGGAAGCTTTCAAAAGCCAGGAGAGACGTGGGTCTAAAACACAGGTGCTTGCGTGCATACTCCCTAGGATCCTGTCAACTTCCTCAGAAGCAACAGGATCAAACTGTTCCCAGATAACAGGGCAAGAACCAGAGGTGGTGTTAGGGATATACACCCTAGCAGAACGTGCAACGGCAGTCTAGCAGACAGGCAGATATATGTGAGATAAAAACATTGTTGTAGCTTACACTCAGTAAGACAGATACACTGTGTACCTTAAATAGTTTTTATTCCAGCAAGAGTTATAGCATAGTCAAAACAGTCCATATATCATACACTAAGTTCAGTCAGTCCGGGGGTTAATCAGTTTGCAAAGTCCAGTGTCGAAGAAGAGTTCATTAAACTTACAATCAATCAGTCCAGTGATATATCTCTTTTGCAGTCAGAGATATGAAGAAAATCAAACCTCTTTTCTTCTTCTCAGCAAACATGCAGTTTATTACCATCAATCCTTCATTGTCAGCATTCCAGTAAAAGCCGAGCAAACAGTGAGCTCTCTTGCTCCCTCTTATGGTGATTTTACAACTGCACCCAAAAACTTGGTTTACAGTTTAAAGTGATACATACATTTAAACTCACTAACATAGTTTATATATTATTTTATCCAAACTAAGTTAGGTAACCAATGTTATCCCTAACATTCTCCCCTTTTGGGTAATATAATAATATATATATCTATTTACAATTTCAACCCATAGTTTTCACAATTTTCCTTGTGCTTTACTGCACCTTGGGCTTTTGTAAATCCATCTGCAAAATTTTCTTCAGTCATGCAATAGACCAATCTTATCAAACCATTTTTCACAGATTGTCTAACATTCAAATATCTAAGGTCAGTGTGCTTAGATCTAGTCTTTACAGCAATATTTGTAGCCAACCTTATGGCTGCTTGATTGTCCTCATACACTACAATGGCATCCTTAACAGTTACTCCCATATCTAACAACAACTGTTTATACAGAATTAAATCAGTACATAATAAAGATAAACATGAAAATTCTGCTTCCATTGTGGACATACTTATATGTTGCTGTCTAATTGACCTCCAACCAATCAGTGTTTTACCTAATAGTATAGCCATGCCTGAAGTTGATTTCCTAGTTTTTATATCTGTTGCAAAACTTGCATCAGCATATGCACTTAAAATCAAATCATCTTTTGGCTCCAAATACAATGCATAGTGCATTGTCTTTTTAAGATACCTTAATATACGCTTTAGCGCTTGCCAGTGACGTTCATTTGGTTCAGCATTAAATCTCGCCAATTGATTAACGCCATATGCAATATCTGGCCTTGACCAATTACTTATATATGATAAACTACCTATTAATGACTGATAAATAGTCTTATCAAATTTTGAACTTTGAGCATCAGTACGACAAAATTCCTGACTCATTGGAGTTTTTGCCGGTTTATAAAGTTCCATTTTATACATTTTTAGCAATTGGTATATTTTATCTTCTTGTGATATCTTAAAGCCACTCTTGGTTTTGTTTATTGTCAATCCTAAATACTGTCTTATTTCTCCTAAATGCTTTAATTTTATTCTCTTACTCAATAATGATATTATCTCAGTAGCTTCATTATTAGTCTTCGTTATTAAAGCAATATCATCTGTAAACAACAATAATAATGATACTATGCCATTTGTCTCTCTCTTGAATAAACATGGATCAGCTAAACCTGCTTTAAATCCTATATTGTTTAACTCTTTTACAATATATTGGTTCCATTCATAACCAGATTGTTTCAATCCATAGAGACTCTTTTTCAGTTTCCAACAGTCATTATTATTTTTATTATCCTTTATATCTACTGGTTTTCTTAAATATATAGTGTGCTGCAATGGTGCATGCAGATAGGCAGTTTCTAAATCTAAATGATTTATAATATAATTTTTCTTAGCTGCCCACACTAAAGCTGCTCTCAAGGTTATTGCCTTTAAATTTGGTGCAAATACCTCATCATAATCACATGCAGTTTGATTAAATCCTTGAGCTACTAATCTAGCCTTATGGGTAACAATCCCATTTTTACCAGTTTTTAACTTAAATATCCATTTGCAGCCAATGGACTTTTCACCTGGAGGTAATTTGGCATTTTCATAAACTTTCATTTCCTTTAATGAATTTAATTCCTTTTCCATTGCCTTTTGCCAATTCTCCTGATCCTTTGCAGGATACATCCTAAGTTCTTCAACACTA